GCCCCCCCGGATCCCGGATCCCACCCCGGTTCCCCCTTTCCCAGGGGAGTTCATCAAGACGTGGCGCCCGCGGTACTTCCTGCTCAAGAGCGACGGCTCCTTCCTGGGCTTCAAGGAGCGGCCGGAGCCGCCGGACCTGGCCCTGCCCCCCCTCAACAACTTCTCCGTGGCCGGTCCGTGGCTCAGGGGGAGGGGCTGGGGGGGACGGACACGCCCCTTTTCCTGCTGGTTTGGGGGTGGTCCCGATGTCCGACCCGGCACCGACCCCAAGGCCGGTCAGCGTTGGGCCCAACGTTGATCCCAGTGTTGACCCCAGTGCCAATCCCAACATGGATCCCAACACTGATCCTAGTTCCAGTCCCAACGTTGATCCCAACGTTGACCCCAATTCCAATCCCAACATTGATCCCAACGTTGACCCCAATTTCAATCCCAACATGGATCCCAATGTTGACCCCAGTGCCAATCCCAACATTGATCTCAACACTGATCCCAACATTGACCCCAATGTTGACCCCGGCATTGATCTCAAAGCCAATCCCAAAGTCAATCCCAGTATCGATCCCAGTGTCAACCCCAACATCAACCCCAAAATTGATCCCAGTGTTGATCCCAACGTTGATCCCAGCATCGATCCCAATGTCAATCCCAAATTGGGTCCCAAACTCTTGGTCCCAGGGTTAATTCCAGTGTTGATCCCAAGGGCAATCCCATCCCAACATCAACCCCAACATTGACCCCAACACTGACCCCGACATCAGTCCTGGTATCGATCCTAACCCTGATCCCAGCCCAACCCCGACCCCAATCCCAGTGCCAATCCCAACGTTGACCCCGGTGCCAACCCCAGTATTGACCCCAGTGCCAATCCCAGTATTGATCCCAGTGCCAATCCCAGTACTGACCCCAGTGCCAACCCCAGTATTGATCCCAATGCCAATCCCAGTACTGACCCCAGTGCCAATCCCAACGTTGACCCCAGTGCCAATCCCAGTATTGATCCCAGTGCCAATCCCAGTATTTACCCCAGTGCCAACCCCAGTATTGATCCCAGTGCCAATCCCAGTATTGATCCCAGTGCCAACCCCAGTATTGATCCCAGTGCCAACCCCAGCACTGACCCCAACCCCACCCCAGTACTGATCCCAGTGCCAACCCCAGAGTGCCAACCCCAGTAAGTATTGATCCCAGTGCCAACCCCAGCACTGACCCCAGTCCCACCCCAGTACTGATCCCAGTGCCAACCCCAGAGTGCCAACCCCAGTACTGACCCCAGTGCCAATCCCAGTATTGATCCCAGTGCCAACCCCAGTATTGATCCCAGTGCCAATCCCAGAGTGCCAACCCCAGTACTGACCCCAGTCCCCCCCAGCACTGATCCCAACCCCAACCCCAGAGTGCCAACCCCAGTATTGATCCCAACCCCAACCCCAGTACTGACCCCAGTCCCCCCAGTACTGACCCCAGTCCCCCCCAGTACTGACCCCAGTCCCCCCAG